GCAAAGGTTACTGAGTATGAAAGAATATAAGAAAAAGAAAAAAAACATTATTAAGGAGTGAGAACAATAAAAGAACATAAATTAAGAAGACAAAAGATAATGAATGACATAGCTTTAGAATTTTTGAAGATCAAAGTTGGCTGGAAAGCAAGAAACTGGGAGAAAGTTCCACAAGTGAAAAGTGCGAGAAAAGTAACTATCAGCATAGAACTTACAATTATATCTAGCCATTTCAATTGTGAAATGATGAGACCTAATTGTCAATCTAGTACTGCCCTTAAATTCATAGTGTCTAAGTACCATAGAGCAAAGTTTATCAGAACAATTACCATGAAAGTATTTTAGAAAAGGCATAGGGCATCTACATTATGGCAGTGGAAAATTGACTGAAGCTGAGATGACAGGAAGGGAAAGAGAATGAGAAACTTTAATGAGCAGAATTGACAATAAAAGAACAGGATTCAGGAAGACAGATGATCGCGATTGATGTTGCATTTAAATTTTTGAAGATTGAAACAAGAAATTTGGATGGAGTTCCACAGGTGAGAAGATGAAGAAAAAAAACTATCAGAATAGAACAGACAGTTGCATCTAGCTAGTTCAACAGTAAAACAGTGAGACCTAGTTGCCAATCTAGTAGCATACTTAAATTCATGTACTCATGGTACTAAAGAGGAAAGCTCATCAGAACAATATACAAAACCAAATGTATATTTACACTATTTAGATTGTTTGGACTGTTGTCCTCATCTTTGTTACCATATTCACACGTTTCAGCTGCTGTAGGCTGTGGCCTTCTTCAGGTGAAGACATTTCAATCACCTGAAGAAGGCCAGAGTGTACAATAGCCAAAATCTCATGAATATGGCAACAAAGATGAGAACAACAGTCCAAATATATAATGTAAATAATTACACTCATCTCGGAAATATAGACAGATAAAGCCAAATGTACTCGTCATAACACCAAGTCTGATAAGGGTATATGAAATACATGCATCACAGCCAAATGTGCAAGATACAGGCAAGTGGGGCCCAGTCAACTCAAATAGTCCTCAATTGTTACACCATACCTATGGACTATAATGGGTATGTCCTAATTCTTATAAATACAGTGGAATATACTGTAAGTTGGATTCACTGTGGAATTCATGATCACTGTCCAAATTATTTTGGAAGTGTGCTTGTCAAATTCTCTGGCCTACAATTTGCCCCATAATAAACTTGGCCTTGTGCTGCATCTGGTCATGTGGAGCGGTTAGTGAATATTTCACTGTAGAATTCATTTGCAATTTACCTTGATTCACTTCTAGCTCACCGCTAGCAGTTGGTTACTTACTACACACTGCTGGCAAATCTTGTATGTTGCTTCTGTTATAAATATTATCATTCCATTTCCACACTTCATTTTGGTTATTCTTATTCAGTAACCTTTTCCTAGGTTACAACACCAATTGAGGATGATCCTACATATGTGACTTGAGAGTCACATTGGCTGCCTAGTCTTTCAAACTTAAAGAACAAACTTCTTGACACCCAGCAATGATGCTCCCTCAATAATCTTTCTAATGAGCAGATATGCTCAGTGTTTTAACCTCTGGAAACATGCTCAACTGGTTACAGTCAGGCAACTGGCAAGCAAATCGGTGGTATTAAATGGGATATTTACTCTAGCCCATTTTAATTCCCCTAGACAAAACATGTTAACACCTCCAATCATGTAAGATTCAAAGCCATGAGAGCCATGACTTTTGTAGCATCAGAGCATTTATTATTATTATTATTATTATTATTATTAGCATTACTTATGAAAATTTTCATGGTTTATGTATTTGAATTTTCTGATGAATCATAATTCTTAATTTAATGATTGAATAAGCTCCCTTGCAAGTTCCATAACTACAAAATACCCATGGAATTTCCCATATTGCATTGTTAAATATTTGAACTTAACCACTTTATCAAAATATCACGATAATGATCATAAGTACAAATGCAGGACATTATTTATTGAAGTAAGAGGGTACAAATGAAAAGATTTAAAATTGACAAAATTTTCTATTTTACTGAAGCAGACATAAAAAGCATTATTACCTCCTTAATCTTCTCTTTCATTCATTCTTTTTTTCTTATTATGTATGCTTTTGTTTTCTCACTAAAACCAAACAGTGTCTCTAATATATATTTTTTTTCTATCAAAAAAAGTTCCTGATGCGACTCACTTCCCAAAATGATGGAATTATGTATGGATCAGCACATCTGACTAAAACCAAAGTGTAGTATCAGTAAAGTCTGCCTTGGATCAAAGTGTTTCTCTACAGCATTTCTGTATAGGATCACAATATTATAGCTGTAATGGTCCATTATTTATCTGAGGTAGTGGCAGGATGTAAGGCACATGTTAACTAACTTAGTAACTAATGGAGGAACAAGCAGAATTATAATATCATCATCATCATCATTATTATTATTTCATGTATTATTGTTTTCTTTGTTTCTTTCTTTTCCTTTACCAAAACCAAACCGTATCTTTGATATATTTTTTCTTCTGTCCTCCTCACAATCAAAATTGAGTGGTCCATTATTTATCTGAGGTAGTGGTAGGATGTAAGGCACATATTAAGTAATTTAGTAACTAATGGAGAAACAAGTAGAATTATATTATTATCATTATTATTATTGTTTTTATCATTATCCTTATTGTTATTATAATTATCTCATGTATTATTGTTCTTTTCTTTTTGATTTTCAGATATGCTTTCATTTGGAGAGAATACTTTCGACAAGCAACTTCAGTGAAGGATTAAAATGAATAACTCAATACCAGTTTGTGTTTATGTGTTGCTGTCTGTCCTGACGGCTTGTCTTGGTGTGGACCTCACATACAATGTAGAAGAAGGAAAACGTCCTGACACCTTAATTGGAGACATAGCTGATGATACACGCCTGTTAGACACGGTTGAACCAAAGGATCATAACCTGATTCGGTTTTGCCAGTTTCAGCAGGGACAGGAAGCCAACTCATTGTTGTTTCGTGTTGCCAAAAAAACTGGTGAACTGTACACAGCTCAAGCATTAGACGCTGAGGCCCTCTGCAAACACACTGTGGAATGCTTCAGAATCATCAAAGTTGCCGTCCGGCGAGTGAAGACTTTTATGCGCATATTAAAAATCAAGGTGATCATAAAAGACGTTAATGACCACCAACCAGAATTCCCAGAACAGAAAGTTAATATACAGTTTGAGGAAAATGATAGTAAAGGGACAAAGGTCTCAATCCCAAATGCCATCGATCAAGACGTTGGAGACTTAAATTCACAAATTTCTTATCAACTGAAAAAGAATATGAATGAACCTTTTACACTGGCTGTTTCCAAAACAGTAGATGGAACGTCAGATCTGAGTATAACATTGGAGGACTTGTTAGACAGGGAACAAAAAGATTCTTATATAATCCAAGTAATTGCCAAAGACGGGGGTTCCCCACCAAAACAGAGTGTTTTAGATGTTTACATTTCTGTCACAGATGTGAATGATAATCCACCAGTTTTCTCACAAAATGTTTATAATGTTTCGATAATGTATGAACACGATGAGGTTTCACCTGTTGCCATCTTGTCCGCGACAGATTTAGATTCTGGCAAAAATGGGAAGATATCATACCACTTCAGTTCAAAGACATCGGACACAGCCAAATCCCAATTTAAAATAAACCGAATAACAGGTGAGATTTTTTTGCATAGAAAATTTACATCCACCAAAAAGCTCACATATAAGCTATACATCAAAGCTGCAGATGGAGGTAACCCCCCACTGAGCTCAATCGCCCTTGTCATTGTAAATGTGATCAACCAGCAGAACAATGTACCTAGTATTGATGTTAACTTCATCTCAGGGTCAACAGAAAACTCAGCTGCCATTTCGGAAGATGTTGAAGTTGGTAATTTCATTGCATATGTAATGGTCACTGATCCCGACATGGGACAAAACGGGGAGGTTGGCTGTGATCTCCATCATGATAAATTCCAGCTTCAGAGCTTGGGCCCAAAAGAATATAAAGTAACAATAAAGGACCCTATTGATCGAGAAACAGAGGACCATTATGACATCACTATCAGTTGTCAGGACAGGGGCTCTCCGCCCTTGCATAGTGAGAGCACATTCAGCATCCGTGTGACTGACGTTAATGATGTGCGGCCAAAATTTTCTGAAGAGATATTCAAGTTTTCTATCTTTGAGAACCAAAATTCTAAATTTCCAGTTGGCTTCATAAATGCAACCGATCCAGATCTAGGGCCTGGGGGACAGTTAACTTATTCTCTTTTGACAGATAATAAACATTTTCTTCCTTTTTTGATTACTGAAAATGGGTTGATATCAACCATCATGTCTTTAGACCATGAATTTCAAGACACTCATAGATTCCAAGTTTTTGTCAAAGACAATGGAATCCCATCATTAAACAATACAGTAGACATTGTTGTTGAAGTCAAAGACAAAAATGACAATGCTCCAACTTTTGTCTCCCCCAGTGTAAGCCCCTTCATCATGGATGTACACTACTACCCACGTCACACGACTAACATCACTGTTCTGAAGGCAACAGACCTGGATAGCCGAGAGAATGCATTTCTTAAATATGAAATAACTGCAGGCAATGAAAAACAGTTGTTTTCCATAAACCATTATACTGGTTTGTTGTCATTTACCCGTGAAGCCAGCCAACAAGACAGTGGGTTGTATGATTTGCAAATTACTGTGAAGGACAGTGGCACCCCAGTTCTGTCAGCAACAACTGACCTATCATTAAAACTGACCGTAAGTAACCAAACATATGAAGTATTAAATGCTGAACATGTACAGTCCGAAGATGGAATTCCAATGTATTTAATGACAATTGTTCTGCTGATTGCTGTATCGGTTTCTGTTCCCGTTACAGCTGCTATATCCATCTGTATCATTCGGTGTAATGACCGGAGACAGGCTCAGCAACGAGCTGAGATGAGTTCGGCCTGCAAATGTCTTACAGACCATGGGCATTATAACTGCCCATCGCAACAGGCTACCCTCTGGTCTGGTGTCCCTGCTGCGCAAACACCAGAACCCGGGAATTCTCTTTCATCGCATTCGAGAAGAGGACAGCATTCGGGTGATCAGTTGGGTCACGGACGAAAAGGTTCAGCTTCTGGCCTGCCGCGAGATATGGTTTATCAGGTAAGTGATGGCAATTCTCAGTTTGGTTCCGAGCATACAGATGGTACGTGTTGGTCACCTAGTTGGCCAAAAGACGTGCATGAATAGGGAACTGATTAAGTTCAAGACAAACGCACAAAGCAACCAGTACTGAACTGATATCTGAAAATGAAGCTGAATTTTTTGGATCCGTGTGGGGTATATTTTGAGGTATATAGATGGATGAAATGATTTATATGTGTGTACAAACATATATATAAGCAGAGCAATAGTGTCTATATATATATATATATATATATATATATATATATATATATATATATATATAAGCAGAGCAAAGTAGGCAAGTGTAGATAGAAGTGACTTAGTGATTTATTTCACTGATAGCTGCACTCAAAAAGCTACACTTTTAACCATCATTTTAATAATCTCTACAGAATAATATTCTCTGTACATAAACAGTTTGGGCAGAAAGAAACTCCCTATATAAATTTGTTAATAACTTTATTAATTATTGGTTGATTTTCATGAAACAGATTTCATTTTGAACAATATAATGGTAGAAGTAAAATACAGGGTGAAAACTCTACCAACATTGTTCCACCAGTGTTTGTAATTGTCTGGATATATCTTCGACTGACTTCATCATTTCCTGTACCTTTTGCACATATTCTTCCAATCTGAATGTTGAAGGATAACTACATCTTTGACTATCTACCACAGATCCTGTCCTCATCAGCTTGGAATGGCAATTTCTGATGGTTTTGGCATCTACTGAAGCATGATATCGATGGACACTGCATCACTATCATTGTATTTGTACCACAGACTATCACACTTTGTAACCAGATGCATGCTAATGCAGTGTCAGGTGTTATGCCATTCTGAGCTTTACTTGTCACTCTGAAATAAAAAGAAAAGTCACAAATGAAATTCTACCACTTTAAGGATCACAATATATTTTGTTTCATGTAAATGTGGCGATATCAACAAAAATTATAAGTAATTTTCAATAGGGAGTTTCTTTCCACCCATCCTGTATACGAAATTGTTCTGGAAAATTGTTCAATTCCACGTTATCTTTGAATAAAGTATAATAATTTCAAGGTTTTATTTGTCATGGACCATAAGAGATTGGTGATAATAAGTCCAGCTCACTGTAAAAAATACATGGCCTGCACAAGTTTAAATTTATGCATTCACAAATAAGTTATCTAAAAAGTTATTAAAATGTTAACCGTAGTACAGAATCTTGCAAAAGTTGAGAAAATTGCCTCGTGAAATGTTAATATTAATTAATACTAACGTTGCAGGTTTCAATCTCATATTCCTGCATAAATGTACGCACGCCTATTTTCATATATATACCTCCCCCCATGAAAACAAAAATTGATCCCTGATTTTATTTAAAGGTAATTTTAAAAACGTTAGTAAATCTTCTGGACGCAAAAAGAAAATAAAAATTGAAAAAAAAAGAACAAAAGCAAACTTTTTTTTTATTTATTTTTTTTAAATTTAACGCAGGACAGACTGGGGTGCTCACAATAAACGCTCATGTGTAAATTGTCTTGTTTTAAATTCCCAAGTGTGTACGGCAAAAATTGAGAAAAAACAGAGTTGTGTCCCTTTCCTTTCTTGCTCTAAGAGACAAAGACTTTTTATATGTGCATCTGTAGTTTCTGCGTGTGTGCATGGATGTATTGCTAAGAAGGTTCTGATACTGCATTTGTAATATATATATATATATATATATATATGTGTGTATGTGTGTGTGTGTGTGTGTGTGTGTGTGTGTGTGTGTTTTATGGATTTTCATCATCATAGAATTTCTGTTGACATATCAAAAAAAAAAAAAAAGAAAGATGCATATAATGCTGATCTCCAATCATATATTGTGGACTCCATTTCATTTATTTAAAAATTGATATTTGTTTTGGTCTGAGAGAAAAAAAATAAAAACAGAGAGACAATTGTACAAATATCTGCATGCTTGTCGATGAAATGTAAAAAAAAAATCATCTGAAACGGATAAAAACATTTTAAAATTGTTATCTTAAAAAAATTGTATTTGTTTTTTTTATTTTTCTTATATTTTTCTATTTTTATTCATTCTTTCATTCTATATTTTGAATGCATTTTGTAGCTGTTTCATATAATTTTTTTAAAAGTTGATATCAGATTAGACTCAATAAATTATCATATTATACATTATTATCTGAATCTCACATAGACAAGCTAGAATTATTATACATTTACATACATAAAGCAATATTTACAGTTTTTCAGTTAGGCTTGAACTCTGTTGATCTCTTGAAACTTTGAAAGGCTGTGTTGTCTCTTCTTGCACTCAAAACATGCTAACGTCTGTTTAACAAGTCAAATGCACATGAAACCTGATTAACCAATGAAAATCAAACAAACAACACAAAAATAAAAATACCAAAATTTCTTTCTCTTTTTTCTCCATATCTCATTCTCTGATGAAGCTTAATAAAAGTGAAATTAGACTGATAAACATTTCCTATTTGTTCTTTATCTTATCATTCTGTCAGGTTTCAATCCATATCTGATCTGTATTTTATCCCAAGTTACTAAATTGTTTACCTCATATTTTGGATAAGTCAATTATTCGGACTGTTATCCTCATCTTCATTATCATATTTACAGCACTTTGGCTGTTGTATGCCCTGGCCTTCTTCTATTGATTGGAATTTCGAACCGAACCATTTTTTTTGTCCACTGGGGTGGATTGTTCTAGTTCCACATGCCATGCATCTTCTGGATATCTCAGTTATTTCCCTTTAACTCATCTCTCCAAGTTTTGGTTCACCACTGCTGTAGCCTAGTATTGATCTCACAACTCATTAAGTCTAGTCACTGGATCTAACCAACACCTTTATCCACTGGGCAATGTCCTTGACCCAAAAAGTTGTGAGTTCAATACCAGGCTACAATAGTTGTGGATCAAAACTTGAAGAGTTGAGTTTAAGGGAAATAAATGAGATCTGGAAGTGGAACTAGAACAATCTATCCCGGTGGATAAAATAAGGGGTTCGGTTTGAAATTCCAATCACTTGAAGAAGGCCAAAATGTACAACAGCCGAAATGTTGTGAATATGGCAATGAAGATGAGGATAACAGTCCAAATTATGTAAATAATGTAATAGGGAGTGAAGTTTGAAAATTGTGATTTTTCAACAATTTGCTTCCTACAATCTTCTTTTTACTGCTGAAAATGCTTAATACTGTCAGTATGTTTTAAAAGACTTTTCAGGAATGTTTACCCTTTGTGCCTGCAAAAAATTGTGTATTGAAAGGACGATTATTCCCTTGATACCACTATTAGTGTATACACTTCTGACTGTCTCAGTAAAAAATATAAAAATGTAAGCCAAGTACAATGCGGTATTTATTATTTACCTCTTATAAAGAGATAAATTTGAAAAGAAATTTTGTTATTCAAATTTTATAAAAATTACAAAATTATCAAAATGTGTAAGCCAACTACAATGCAATATTTATCATTTACCATTTTATAAAATAAATTTGAAAAGAAATCTTTTTATTCAAAAATTTATAAAAAATTGCAAAATTATAAAAATTTATGAACCAACTACAATGCAATATTTATCATTTATCTTTTATAAAGGTTTATGATTTACCATTTTATAAAGAAATAAATTTGAAAAGAAACTTTTTTATTCAAAATTTATAAAAAATTATAAAATTATCAAAATATGTGAACCAACTACAATGCAATTCTTATTATTTACCTTTTAGAATTAATACAAGTAAATGTTTTGTCACTTAGCTGATTGATGTTACCTTCAGCATCCTGACTCCAGAGTTTCATTGACAGACCCTCCAGGAATCACTCTGCCCACTCATCAAAGGGTATCAGCAATTGACCACTTATACTTCTCAATTTTTCTTTTTTATATGCACTTTTCAATGGTGCAAGATTTTTGGGGTTTTTTTCATAGTGTATGTGTGCATCCATGCAACCATGTGCCCATCTAAATTTTATAAAGTTTTATTATATATCATTTTATAAAGAAATAAATTTGAAAAGAAACTTTTTTATTCAGAATTTATAAAAAATTACAAAATTATTAAAATATGTAAACCAACTACAATGCAATATTTATTATTTGTCATTTTATAAATAACTATGAAAAGAAGTTTCTTATTCAATTTAATAAATAAATAGCATTTAATATTTTTGTTGTTAATTCTCAATAGTAAAGAAAACGTATAAATCCATTTTCATATATTTGGGTTTTATTAAAATTCTAATCATCCCTTTTTAAAAACAATAAACATTGCCGAAGGAGTCAAAAGTGTATACAGGAATAGTGGTGTCAAGGGAATAACTGTCCTTTTGATACACTGATGATTTGTGAACACAAAGGTTAAACATCGTTCACTTTTCTTTCTGGAAATGCATGTAATCAGGTATTCACAAATAATCTTTCATTAACATCATTCCAATCTAAAATGAAAAAAAAGGAAACTCAGATTTGTTGATGACTGAAGCAGTGAAATGTCGTTTATTCTTGTAAAAATATATTCCATTCAAGCAAAAAAAAAAGGAAAGAGGAAAGAAAAGGAAGAAAACAGAGAAAATTACAGAAATTGTTGAAATGTTTTACAAAAAAATTGTTTCTTTTTTAGTCCAGTTTCTTCTTATGAAGACAGTTTTCATCCACCAAGAAATAAAGAGATTAGACACAAGAAGATTTTTTAATATCTCCTCTTAGTTTGCTGACTTGGACTATTTTTTTTAACCATTTCACTACAAGCAACACAATAAAGCCACAAGTTGCAAGTTAGAGAATACAAAAAAATATCACTATTAATGAGAGAGGACAATAAAGGAACAGTAATTAAAAAGGCAGAAGATAATGATTGACATTGCATTTATCATTTGTCTAAAATCATTACTGCCATTAATGTCAGAGAAGAAAACTAATATAAAACCAACATTTTTGACCTGATGAGAATTCAGTTTTTTTTAATCA